ACACAGACAGCCTCTTCCCAATATGCGTTTTTGCAATTTACATATATGCAAAAACGCATAATAAAGAAATTTTGTTGTGCGCAGTGCACATCTGCGCACTTTTTTCTCTTAAACCATCGCTTGTTCTTGGTATATTATTAAAACATCTAGGCTATCAAGACGATTTGGCAGGGCGATCAAGCCATATGCACTCGTCATGATGGTTAGAGTGTTTTGACGTTCAACTTGTTCGATGCTCACTGATTTAATCAAAAGTGCAGCATCCTCATCAGTCTGCTTAAATACCGTCTTTGCACTGAAGATTGCAACTTAGCGAAATCTTTTTTTCAAACCCACATTTGATCATTTCAGCGTGGATAAATGAAGAAAAAAACGAAAAAAGGAGAAATATGGTCATTTGAGAGTCAGAATAAAACTGTAACTCTGACCAGCAGCTCCGTGTTTCCCCGGTGTTCCAGTATTGCCTGTGCTTCCCTCTTCTCCTGGCGGTCCAGGACGTCCTGCTTCACCAGGCAACCCTTTAAAACTAATTTCCATTATCACTCACATAAATTATCACTGAAATTTTTGATCTTGACAGACTGGACAAGATGATAACCTGATTCGCCCTTATCCCCTCTTTCTCCAGGAGGTCCTTGATCGCCCTCTGGCCCTTGTGGCCCTGTGTCTCCTTTTGGTCCCGGCGCACCACGCGCATACCCAAAGCTGTCTTCACCAGACAACCCTAAAGGAGTTTCTGTTCTTTACATAGAATGTTTTCTACTAGTAGGTTAGTCAAAGAACACGCTAACTGGTTGCTTTTGCTATTTCTTACTACTAGGACTACTTGATTGCCTCCTCTCACAGAAAACGAATCAGAGAGCGGCTTTAAATTTTGACTAGATGAGCACCACTGCAGCCGTAAGGGTAGAGCCTCATTAGAGCATTTTTAAATTTATAAAAATTTAGATGTATCGTTAGATAGGTGTCGCCAAAATATCACGCTATTGCACGGTTAACAATCAACAAACATTGTATTTTCCCATCATTAATGGGGTTAAATCGAGAAACAATAACAAACGTCCCTGAGTGCTTTTACAGAGAGCTACGTAATTTGACATATAAATAGTGGAAAACAGATCTATAGTTTTTCTTTCAAAAAAATGCAGATTAACCTGGTTGACCGGCTGGACCTTGAGGACCTGCTGGTCCAAAATCGCCTTCCGGTCCTTCTTCGCCAGGTTCTCCATCTTTACCTTAAAAAATCAGATATAATTGAAATCCTGATTGCATTTTGCACCAGCTTTCATCAAATATTTGTTGAATTAAATTTACAGACCTGGAGTTCCTGGAGCTCCTTTCTCACCGGTTGTACCACGCGGCCCTCGTTTTCCTTTATATCCTGGAAATCCCGGTCGACCTGCAGGGCACGGTGCGCAGGGGCCTATTTTTGGACTTTCATATGTACCTTCTGGACCTGGTGTTCCAGGCAAGCCATCAAGGCCATCTTCTCCTGGAATAAACATACAATATTTATGACAGTCAAAGTGGTTTTGAACCAGTGTTAACCTATAACGATACTTTAAAGTGGGACATCCATCAGGTCATGCAGCATTGGTCGAAACAGCTAGAAAGTTGACAGCTGAGTAGCTGAAAAATCACATTATAAACGAACAGCATCTCATAACAAGCAACAGAGTGTGGTATTCAAAGCGTTCTTTGTTTCAAAGCAGTCTTCGTCACTAGTAAAATTGCTTTTCCATTCTTATTATCATTAAGCACTATTTATTCTGATAGTCAGCAGTCCTACAAGAAGTATGCCATGGAGGGGGGTTTTGACCATAACTACTTTCATCATGATGGCACAAACATGGACGAATCGTTTTTAATACTTCCCTGCTATGCATGAGAAATGAATGACCTCTTTCTCCAGGTGTGCCAGGTGGCCCACGTGGTCCAGGTGGGCAAACTTTTTTAGCATGACCACCAGCAGAGCCTCGTACAGTGGCAAATGTATCGAAACCGGCACCAGCTTTTCTTTCAAAGCTTCCTCCACCAATCCTTCTGGTACTTCCACCTCCATCATATCCTCCCTCATCAGCACCGCCACTTTCTCCCTCTTCTGCTCTCCCGCTACCATCACCACCGCCTCCTGCGCTCCGATCCGTACTTTCACTACTTTCTTCATCTTCTCCGCCGTCTGGAAAAAAATAATTATCGTTTTGCAGTTAAATTTCTTGATACGTCCGAGAAGCTTTTGATGGAGCTTTCCTTGTGGGCCGTCATTCAGAGATCTGACGGATAACGAATTCAGGATTTTTTTTTTTTTTTGAAGGGGCATACATCATTGTTCTGATGTTATATATACTAGCCTTTATCAGTACATAGAAATGACAGTAATTTCGAGTTAGAATTGATGGTAATTTCGAGTTCAAAAAAATCGCTGTTTTTCCTTTCTTCCAAGAAGGAGTTTTTGTTAAAAAGCGAAATTTTCAAATTTTTTATTATTATTTCTCATATAGGCATTAAATTTTATTAGCCAACTAACCGCCTTGCTTTTCTTCAGCGCTTATCGCACCGCAGTGATTTTCAGTTAACCGGGTGTTACTTTCCAAGTCCGAATGAAATCCCGGTGTCTCTACGTGGTACTTGCACTAGAGCTTTATCTAGCAGAAAAAGAAA